GATTTAATTAAATTATGCAGAGTTTATGAATATGAGATATTAAAATACGACATCCGATTTGTTATTTTGCTACAATATCTAAATACAGCCATTGCCAATGAGTCATTTGAGGTGATTACATGCAATCCTTTTATATTAATGGACTCTTAATTTAACTTTAAAGTTTCTGCAATTTTTTATTATTCACATATTTCTTGTTAAATATGTCAAATTTTTCCCCTTAATCAAATTTAATTTCATTTTTTAAACAACCTTTCAACTTGTGGTTTAGAATTAAACCATCTCGATCACTATTCCTTTTATAACATCGAATTTATTTAACTTTATGGTGATTTCGTTTCCGCCAATAAATGTAGCCTTTCGATTGTCCCTTTCTCTTTTTGTGTTCGATAAAGGCAAACGGTGAGAAAATTTTGTGTTCGTTTCTTAAAATGTCACACAAATGTGCATAAAGGGCACATTCTCTGCCCTTCGAATACAAATTTATGAAATGGGTGAGGTAGACAAGGACAAGAGGCAAAAAAATGCCCTTTTACCGGGTTGAGTGTAACATCAAACACATTTTGCACTAGGGAAGTGCAACATTTTTTGAAAGAAACGAAGGCACTATTAAATAATTTGAATAAAATTGTTTGAAAGGTGACAGCCCTTTTTCAAACAAATAAAACTTACAGCCCTATTCTGTTGCCCTCACAAAAATCACCATACTCACTATTGTGAGGTTTCTGACTATTGTGAGGTTATCCCTATGCTGGCGTAAATTTAAAAGCTCATACGCTCACAATTGTCAGGAAATTTATGATGTACGAATGAGACCCTCACAAGAGAAAAACAGCCGATTTTTATTGAACAATTGAATAATGTTTTGTTAATTTTTGTTCGCTATCAGTATCTGTGTTAAGTTTTTTTTTTTAACTAAAAGTATATTCAGTAATGGCGGAGTTATTGCTTGTTTTTGCGGCAGTTTCGGAAGAGTTAGAGCAGGCATAGGATTTCATTTCCATACAAACTTTTGCTCCAAGTTGTGGATTGCAAACTGTGTGAAGTACTGGAGCTACTCCTGCTTTGTTATTTCTTTTTAAATTCGCCTAGAAAATAAATAAAATCAGTAATTATCAAAAAATAAACAAATTGCAAAAATATTTACTTTTCCTGTTGTTCAGCATCCATCTTTTGTATTTATTTTATTTACGAAACCGCTGTTAGACAGCAAAATGCTTTTCACCTCGTGTGGTGATTTGGTTGAGCTTTTTTCTTGTGAGGTGTGGGCTAGAATAACCTCACAAAATATACCTCACAAGAAATCTCACAACGTTTTGCTCACAACTCAGTTGTGAGGTTTTATTAGAATAGGGCTGTTAATTGTCATTTACCCAATTCCCCGTGGATCCGCCACTAGTATTGATACACTTATCGATATAATTTTGGCTATATTCAACGATATCATCATCGACTTATTCATCGATATGTGCCATAAATAAGGTTTTAATTTATTTTATTTTTTCGTATAAATAAAAT